TTTGAGAGGGAAATACCTTGCCTCATCTTTTCTGTGTATTTAAATGGATAAATGTTAGTAACAAATTCAATATAAAGAGAAAACTGTGATTCATGCTCAATGGCCATGTCTACACTTACCTTTGTTCAACAGTGGATGGAAATCATCAGCATCAAGAAAGCTACAGTTCAAAACTTTGGCCAACATGTCACCTTTTGTGCTAGTTACACACACAAAGTAGACGAGCATGAGTAGGGTGATCATATTGTTACCTGTATAATGTATCTATGCTACTCGGACATAGGAGTGAGAGATCCTAATCATGCCACTAAAATTAACCACAAAATAATATATATATATATATATATTAAATTTAATGAACTACAACATTATCAAAAATGCCATACGGGAATCAAGTGAAAATAAGAGACCTATCAAGAAAAATTCAAACAACTTTTGGAGAAGTTCTAGTTGAAGGACTGATCAAAGCAAACAAAAATTACCGCATGGCATAGTAATGCCATTCTCTATCAATAATAACTGTGAGCTCCACATGATCAATTCAAATCCTGTTCAAACAACTTTAGATCATGATTGCTAAAATCTCAAAACCCCATAATTGCAATTTGCAAAAATAATATGGTGATAGAATATGGGTAACATTAATGCCATTCCAGATCTGCACCTGATACAATACATTCTCTTGAGCTTTAATCAAAAATAGAAATAAACAATTGTTCCCCTTCTAATGATTAATTATTGTAGTCAAGAGATGCCTATTAGAAAATATCAAAAGGGTATCATTAAAGTTCATGCTTGGCAATTACTATATTGTTGTTGTTTGCTGCTGTTGGGAATAAGAATGTAGCCATGAATAATTAACAAGAGTCTATGTCTACTTCCCCTTTAATGCACTCTATTCATACCTCTTCTAAGTTGGTAAAAAGGTATAATTGTAGGAAAGAAAATTGTGAAATTGGGTGAAGAGATGATGAAAAGTTACGAACAAGTAAACAAGATGTATCATAAAACGATGGAAATGAAAAGCTTATTATCTGAAACATTCATCGCTGCATGACAGAAACCTATGGCATGATGATGGTTTGATGACATTGAAGATAAATGGAATAAATCAACATATAACCTTTTCTATTCCACATACATTTGAAAAGAAAAAATAATTCCTAGATTCAGCTTTCAATCATGAATGAGAAATTCCTATAAAAAAATCATGAATGAGAAATTACAAAGCAAAAACAAAGGGGGAGCTTACGATTTGCCAGCGCCACTAACTCCCATAATCACAACAGCCCTTCCTACAAAACAGAGGAAATATAAACCGCTAAGGAAGACTAAAGATAACAGATATAAAACAATGGAAATTAGAAGGCGAATATGAGACGAATTACCTTTGTGATCAATAGCCATAGTAAGTCAAAGATAAGATACGATCTTGCCTTCACTGCTATCTGCAAGAGGGGATGCATAAACTATTTTTGAGTCCGAAAGAAAATTCAAAATAAACCCAAACAAAGTTTGACGATGAAAAGGTCGGGAAGAATACAAGTAAAGAAAACAGGTAGAATATATGATAGTGAAAAACAAAGTGGTCCGAGACATGCATTTGAATCAAACTCAACTCCCCATTGCGATCCACGGCGACTGGAAGCAGGCCTCCGAAATACCCAAGAAAATATGGGAGTTGGTCTTGCAGTACTCTTCAAGTAAAGCCCAATTAGAGAAACGAGATTTTAAGAACAGAGGACGTCATGGGGGAGAGAGAGAATTGAATAGCAACTGTAATTTGGTTGAGAAATTGTCTTACCTGCCTTAGATTTAAATTACGATTACAGTAGTATTTTCGGTCGTATTATATTTATAGCAATTACATATCATGATTTTTCTTAAAAATTTGTATAATTTATTGTAAAACATACTTTAAGGCTTAATATAAAAAATGTTCAAATTATACATTTTTTTAATTTAGACGTCTAAATTTTTAAGTATAGTTTGTTAACATATTCATTAAGTAATTAAAGATAAATTTTACATATGTATTACTGTTGTTGTTCAACTTGTGCTCATGCTTGTAATTAGGGGTGTAAACGAGCCGAGTCGAGTTCGAGTATTGTTGAGCTCGACTAGACTCGAAAACTCTGAAATAGAGCTCGACTCGACTCGAAAACTAGCGAACTTAAAACTTTCAAGCTCGACTCGAACTCGAAATCCTAAACTGAAGCTCGTGATCATTGAAAATGCTCGAAATGAAAAATCTTAAACTTAACTCGATTGAAGTCTCAAACTCAAACATGAACCTTAAAATGAAAATCTTACTGTATTTTAAAAAATCAATATATAAATTATATTATTAATAATTTATTTAAAAAAAATAAAATCTTAATATATATTTCCGAGCTGCTTACGAGCTTTTCGAGTCGAATATCGAGAACTCGTTTCGGCTAGTTAAGAACTCGAATCTTTTCTATAAAATTTATTGATTTTTTTACTTTATTTTCATTTTTCGTTTCAGTTTTCTATAATATTAGTTTGGTCGTAATGTTTAAAACTCAACAAGTGTGCTTCATTGATTGTATCTTTTTTAAGATCGTATCATATATGTAAAGTACGTTCAATCATCATGATTTTTATAAATTTCAATAGGAAAATATCCTCTCGTTGAATAATTAAATATGTATATGTTTTAATATTTGATCTTTAAATAAAATATATTTGAGTGAAAAACCTCAAATTTAAACACGTGACTGAAAATGTATAATATATATATAATGTAAAACTCTTTAATTTTACACATATTTAAAATTATTGGATGAGTAAAAATAAATTATTGAGATTGACTCGTTAATTTTTTTTTAGTTAATATCTTTTCATTTTTTTTACTGTTAATTTCAGTCATATATTTTTATTCATCTAATAATTCTAAATTTATATATAAAAAAACTTATACATTGTTTAACAAAAGATTTAAAGATTGTTTACAAGATTCTGTATATAAACTTATTTAAACAAAAGAAAAAAGAAAACTTGAATTTGGTATATGGTATATGGTATAGAAGTTTAGTTGAACGGACCTCGACCAATAAATAACAGAATGTTATTTTTTTATAGATTGAGTTGAGGTTGCAGCTGGAAAGCGGACTACGGCGTTTAGGCCGAAAGCAACGCTAAACGGACCCTAAAGTAAAGGGGATATAGCCTTTGTTTTGTTAATTTTAAAATTTTTAAAATTTTAAGAGAAAATAAATTTATAAAATTTAAGAGGTAAAAATTATTAATTAAAAATTAAAATATATAAATTTAAAAAAAATTAAAAAAAAAGACTTTCACTGCTCGCCCTATCTCATCTATCCCTACACACAGTCAAACACGAAACTGGCAAGGATTCCGAGATTTGTCAACCCCAACGTTAGGGCTCCGCACATGGTTATAAAATCTGGTGGCTTAAACTAAAAATCTCTCTCAACTATGTCCTTTTCTTTTGAGCCGTTAAATTATTTTTAATCAAAATAATCTTTAAACTATTATATATAATTATTTTAAATCTTATATTTTTTTAATAGAATTTTTGTAGACTAATGGAATATTGACATGTCATACGAAATTGATATTTGTTTAAATTAGAAAATTAATTTAAATTAAAAGAAAACATAATTTAAAGATTTGTTTAATCAAAAGACAGTTTACACAATTAAAGTGGTTGTATTTAAGATTTTTTCTAAAATATTTTTCTTTTAATAAAAGTTTGATGCGACAAAGAATTGATGTATATTTTTTTATTAAATAATTTTATTAATAATTTAAATTTAACCTTGGGTAAGCTCAAATAGACTTGAAAAATTAATTAATTTTTTAATTTTGAGTTATTTGAGTTGAGTTATTCGAGTCAAACTCGAATTATCGCTTTTTTGATTTACTTGAGAAATAAAAAATTTGATTGACTATTTTGATAGTTTTGTGATTTAGTCTCTGATTTCCTTATTCATTCAATTCATCCATTTTAAGTCAATTTTTACCAAATTTAAACCACTTGCTCTTAATCATGGTAGAATACAACATGCTTTCAATTCCTCTTTTTTGATATTATTTTTTTTGTTATTTAATTTAGTTCGTTAATTTCTTATGATTTCTTTATTTATTCAATTCGTTTTTATTTTAAGTCTATTTTTTATTAAATTTGAATCATATGCTCCTATACCACTATAGAATACATATGTAACTTCAATTCTTATTTTTTAGTAAAATATACTCTCTTTATTTATTTGTCCCTTAACTTTGCATTTTACTCAATTTGATTGTAATTTTTTACAAAATATTTATTCTCATCAAATTTTTTTGACTCTTTATACTTTACCCTCAAAATATCTTTTTTAAAATATACCATTGTAAATATATTTTATAATTTTAGGTTGTATTAGATATATTAAGTATCTTATATTGTTAAGAAATCGATAAGTTAGAATCAATCTTTTACATAATGCTATATATTATAATAAAATTAAATAGAAACTCAATAATTCGATTCGACTTGAAAAAATTTCAACTTAAGTTCGAGTCACAAAATGACACATTAACTAAAATAACTTAAAATTTTTGAATTGACTCGACTCGATTGAATGTTCACCCTTAATAAATGATCCAAATAAATTTAGAATCTATAATATAAGAGAATACAAATAAACTTAAATTCAATGTTAACTGAGGTTGTTTATTTACTTCAGAATGATTAGGCGCTGAATGATTCAAATATTGAATAATTCAGATGCTCTGAATGAATTAGGTCTAAATGTGACATGTTGTTTGATAATGGCTCTGAATTATTCAGAATGTACATCTATGCTGAATCTTCCAGCACTGTTTTATTGAATCAATCAGCACTAAATCATTTAAAGGTACAAAATAAATCCACTAAATATTAAACAGTTCAACATTAATGATTCTATTAAAAAAACAAACTGCCATAAGAGAACACTAAATATTTGTGGCTATGCTTTTAATATTATCTTCGTGACAGCCTTTGCTTAGCTAATTTAGATTCCCTATGCCATGCCAAGCCAGGCCAGTCCCCACCCCCCATGTGCTCTACATTGCCACTCCTTTCTTCTCAATTACTACTTTCGTTGCTCTTTTTCCTATCTTTCTCACCTCTTCCTATCTTTCTCACCATTTTCATTTCTTCTCCTTCTTCCTTTGATGCTGCTTTTTTGCCTTTTGGGTTTTTTCAGTTTCTCTGTTCAAGTTCAGTCCTCCCTATGTTTGCTTTATCCATCTAATGCCTTTGAGAAAAAGTTGCAACTCTTTCCTGCATCATTTCCCGGAAAATAAAAGCTAAAGCTTTGCATTTTTAATCTCTCTCACATGAACTACAAGCCCAGACTTGGTTTTTGCTTCAAGCTTCTTGCTTTAATTCTTGGGTTCTCTTCGGTTTTCATATCTGTTAAATCCCAGAAAGCTGCAAGCGATGATGCTGCCGCCATGTTAGCCCTCAAGAAGGCTCTCAGTCCACCTGAATCTCTCGGATGGACCGACCCTGATCCATGCAAATGGAACCTTGTTGTCTGCTCAAATGACAAGCGCGTCACTCGGATCCAAATCGGTCACCAGAACCTTCAAGGTACACTTCCTTCAGATCTTCAGCACCTTACTGAGCTTGAGCGTTTAGAGCTTCAATGGAACAACATTTCGGGTCCCGTCCCTAGCTTAAGCGGGTTAAGCTCACTCCTCGTGGTTATGCTTAGTAACAATCTCTTCACTTCATTCCCCACTGATTTCTTATCTGGTTTATCTTCTCTTCAGTCCGTTGAGATTGATAACAACCCTTTTTCCGCCTGGGAAATCCCTCAAAGCTTGCAAAATGCTTCAGCTTTGCTGAATTTCTCGGCCAACTCGGCTAACATTACTGGGAAAATACCAGACATCTTTGGATCTGATGCGTTTCCAAGTCTAAACATCTTGCATTTGGCCTTCAATAGTCTTGAAGGAGAGCTGCCCTTGAGCTTTGCTGGGTCATCAATCCAGTCTTTGTGGGTTAATGGTCAGAAAAGTGACAGTCAACTCACTGGTTCCATTGCTGTAATCCAAAACATGACACTCTTAAAGGAGGTTTGGTTACAGTCGAACTCATTCTTGGTCCTATACCAGATTTGTCTGGGTTGAAAGCATTGCAGACTCTGAGTTTGAGGGACAACTCGTTTACTGGCCCAGTTCCTGTTTCTCTTATGAAGCTTGAGTCCTTAAAAACTTTTAATTTGACAAACAATTTACTTCAAGGACCGGTGCCCGTGTTTAAGGACTCGATTTCCGTGGATATGGTTAAGGATTCCAATAGATTTGTATGCCAAGTCCTGGTGACTGTGATCCAAGGGTGACTTGGTTGCTTAATGTTGTGAAATCCATGGATTATCCGCAAAGGCTTGCTGATAACTGGAAAGGGAATGATCCTTGCTTGGATTGGCTTGGGATTACATGCATTAATGGCAACATTACTGTTATTAATTTTGAGAAGATGGGCCTTACTGGTACCATATCTCCTGATTTTGCATCACTTAAGTCTTTGCAGAGGCTGATTCTTGCTGACAATAATCTCACTGGTCCCATTCCTGAGGAGCTCACTACACTGGTTGCACTTAAAGAACTGGATGTTTCCAACAATCAACTCTATGGGAAAGTCCCCACTTTCAGGAGCAATATCATTTTTCACGCAGATGGTAATCCCGACATCGGCAAGGAGAAAAATAGTGCTACTTCTCCAGCTTCTGGATCTGGCAATCCCAGTGCTGGCTCAGGGTCTAAAAGTGGTGAAAATTCTGGACATGGTGGCAAGAAATCTTTGGCTTTCATTGGAATGATCATAATTTCTATATTTGGGGGTCTGGTAGTTATTGGCTTGCTTGGCTTGTTGGTTATCTGTCTTTATAAGAAGAAACAGAAACGGTTCAGCAGAGTGCAGAGCCCAAATGCAATGGTGATTCACCCTCGCCATTCTGGTTCGGATAATGAAAGTGTTAAGATCACGGTTGCTGGCTCGAGTGTAAGCGTTGGTGCTGTCAGTGAAACTCATACAATTCCGAACAGCGAGCATGGCGGTGATGTACAAATGGTTGAGGCAGGTAACATGGTGATTTCTATCCAAGTCCTAAGGAATGTGACCAACAATTTCAGTGAAGAAAATATATTGGGGCAAGGGGGTTTTGGGGTAGTTTATAAAGGTGAGTTGCATGATGGTACAAAGATTGCTGTGAAGAGATGGAATCTGGGGTTATTAGTGGCAAGGGTTCAACTGAATTTATGTCTGAGATTGCTGTATTGACAAAGGTCCGACACCGGCATCTTGTTGCCCTTCTTGGATATTGCCTTGATGGAAATGAAAAGCTTCTTGTGTATGAATACATGCCCCAAGGTACTCTTAGTGGACATATCTTTAACTGGGCAGAAGAAGGATTAAAACCACTTGAATGGACAAAGAGGTTGACCATTGCCTTAGATGTTGCAAGGGTGTCGAATATCTTCACAGTTTAGCCCATCAAAGTTTTATACATCGAGATTTGAAGCCTTCAAACATTCTACTAGGAGATGATATGAGGGCTAAGGTCGCAGACTTCGGTCTTGTGCGTCTTGCCCCCGAGGGGAAGGGCTCCATTGAAACAAGAATTGCTGGAACCTTCGGATACTTGGCACCAGAATATGCAGGTATATTTCGTCTATCTGTTTTTCCCTTTAATTTCATATAGTTTATTCTTCATAAAGTTTAATGCAAATAAGTTGCATGATGAAAGAATGCAAGTATTTGATTTGAATGGCACTTGTTGACACGTTGAGCGTATGGCCGAGTTTTGCTCGACAGTTCTTAAAATTGCAAAATTTGTTTCATCTTATACTTATTCTACCATGTATTTGTTGAAGTGTTGCCTATGACATTTAGTTCTATACACAAAATATTCCCAACATCGAAATAATTTTTTTCTTTGAATACCAATTGCAGTTACCGGACGAGTTACCACTAAAGTTGATGTGTTTAGCTTTGGGGTGATACTGATGGAGCTGATCACTGGTAGAAGAGCACTTGATGAGAGCCAACCCGAGGAAAGCGTGCACCTAGTTACATGGTTCAAGAGAATGCACATCAACAAGGACTCGTTCCGCAAAGCCATCGACCCCACAATCGACCTCAATGAGGAGACACTCGCCAGTATCAGCACCGTTGCTGAATTGACTGGTCATTGCTGTGCAAGGGAACCATATCAAAGGCCCGATATGGGTCATGCTGTAAACGTGCTATCTTCTCTAGTGGAGCTTTGGAAACCAACCGATCAATGTTCCGAAGACATATACGGCATCGACCTTGAAATGTCATTGCCACAAGCACTAAAGAAATGGCAAGCTTATGAAGGCAGAAGCAATTTGGAGTCTTCATCTTCTTCACTTCTTCCCAGCTTAGACAACACTCAAACCAGCATTCCTACACGGCCTTACGGATTTGCCGAGTCATTTACATCAGCAGATGGAAGATAAGCAGCAGTTGTATATTATCGAATCAGTCAATCTTATGTTCATTCTGATTGCTTCTTGCTTCTTAGCAGAACTTGTGTAGCCTAATTATTTCCTCCAACGATGTTGTTTTGCTTGGAATATGATTCGGATGCTCTCCGGTTTCGATGCTCTCGAAGCCAAACAATTAATGTTTCGTTTAATTCATGCAAATGTGTTCATGCTTCATCCTGCTCGACTGATCATGATCGACATACGAGTGCATATGAGTTATATTCATGTTAGATATATATTGGAATTCGTCGTGTCGAAACAGTAGCTTGGAACACCAAACTTTGGCCATTAAAATAGTCACAAAGTTCATGTGTCTGGGAATAAAAACAGAAAAAAGCAGAAGCGAAACAGCTCAACGCCATCCAATGAAGAAAGAGATGGGTAGTGGTGGGGAATAGCGTTGCTGTCTGTAGTATTAAAGTAATGTGCGGGGACCTGCAGGTGTTGGCGGTGAGGTGTAATTGTCCCGTTTCCAGTTTCCCACACATGGCTTACGTTCTTCTCGCAACTGTCCCCTCTGGCTTTCGGTCTCGCGCCCACAGTTGTTTTATTGTCTTTTCTTTTCATGTCTACACTTTTATCCTATAATTGTATTGTGGTAGGAAATTATAAATTTTATGCTGAGATGGAGATAGAAAATAATTGAATTTTAAAATTTGGAGTTAAAATAAATATTTTTTTATTTTTAAATATAAAAAACTAAGGACAATGCCAAATATCGAAATAATATGGAAATTGTTACCGATAAGAATTGGGAATTAGGGGTCTTTTAGTTAACCTTAGATTTTTTTTTTCTTTGGCTGTTGTTAATCTTATTTTTTCTTTATTTTTGTGATGGGTGGCGATATCGGTCTTAATGCTAATTATCGATCTTCAATATTTATTTTTATTTATTTATTTTTATTATTTAATATCTTTATTTTTTTAATTTTTAATAATTCTATCTTTATAATACATTTTTCGTTATCTTTATAGCACGTTTTTCAGTCTTTTGGCATGTTTTCGTTCGTTTAGTCGTTATTTTTGTTTGGATTTGACATCGCCACGACTAATTAAGATGACACTTATTTATTAATATACTGATATTCTATGTTTTGGACTCTCAAAGTGGATTTTGATACATTATTTGCATTCATATATAATTTTCTCATGTCGCTCGTTTTTTATTTGCGATTTGTCAGTGGTCCTTCGATAGATTGATTCCTTTTGTGGTTCATTTATCTATACAGTCATATCTGTTCATATCTACTTTTGTAGTTTATTTGATTAGATTTTAACATTTTCCTTATATATAGTTATTGTGTGATCTTAAGTATTAGTTTCGTGTGTTAATGATTATAAGAAATCTTTTTATTGTGTGTTTTAATTTAAAATTATAATTATAAAAATACATTATAATTTAAATATTTTTTATTTTTAATGAAATTAGCCGCTTTAATCTTATAAAAACAATTAGGCACTGGGAAGGAATAAGTGTTGCGGAAGACGGCTATCGGATAGAGCAAAATCGCAACTGATAATTTGAGAAAATAAAAATGAAGATAAAAGAGATACAAAATTTACGTGGAAAACCCCTAAAAATTTAGGGTAAAAACCACGGGCAACGATAGAAGAATTTCACTATGAGAAAATATGAATTACAACCTCTCTCGATCTACCAAGGAGAAAATAATGATAATTCTCTCTAGATAAAAAGGAGAAAACAACTCTCAAGAAACTCTCTAAAATCTCTCTAGTATTGGAAGAAAGCTAGAATGCTTTGAGATGATTTTGAAGCTAAATGAGCTAGGGTATTTATAGTTGAAACTTAAGGACTAATCTTATAAATACCCTAAATTACAATGACTAAAATTAATTATCCCATTACCCAATTTCAACAAAAATTAGGTGCCTAATTTTTGACTTTGACAAAGCACCATTTGGTGCCTAAATTATTTGACTTTTAACAATCTCCCATTGAAGATTTGATTCGAATAATCATATCTTCACACCATTCTTTCTACCTTGTACCTTCATGTTGCTTACTTTTCTGACAGGCCACAGGAGGATCGACACCAGGTAAATTTATCAGCATTGATTGCCTTCGTCATGAAATCTGCTATGTTGTCTTTGGTATGGATCTTCTGCATATCTACCGTTCCTTCTTCCACCTTTTCACGAATGAAATGGTACTGAACTCGTATGTGCTTTGTCCTTGAATGAAATGTTGGATTCCTTGCTAGATGCAAGGCGCTTTGACTGTCACAAAACAGAGATACATACTCTTGATTGTGCCCAAGCTCCTCCAATAGCATCTTCAACCAAATTGCTTCTTTACTGGCTTATGTAGCTGCTACATATTCTGCCTCTGTTGTGGACGTAGCCACAACTGACTGCAATTTTGAAACCCAGCTTACAGCTCCACCAGCAATTTTGAACACATATCCTGTAGTAGATTTGCTTTTATCCAAATCCCCTGCATAGTCAGAATCTACATAACCATTGATTAGTAAGTTTGATCCTCCGTAACATAATGCAACATTTGAGGTCCCTTTGATGTATCTGAGGATCCTCTTTACAATATTCCAATGCTCTTTGCCTGGATTCGCCATGTACCGACTAACCACTCCCACTGCTTGTGCAATGTCTGGTCTTGTGCATATCATAGCGAACATTAAACTTCCCACTACTGATGCATACAGTACTCGAGATATCTCCATTCTCTCTTCTTTACTGCTAGGACTCATACTAGAGGATAATTTGAAGTTAATGGAAGGGGTAGAAATTGGCTTACAATCTTGCATCTTGAATCGTGACAAGATCTTCTTCAAGTAATTCTTTTGTGAAAGCCAAATCTTCCTATTACTTCTGTCTCGGTGAATTTGCATCCCTAGAATCTTGTTTGCTGATCCCAAGTCCTTCATTTCAAATTCCCTAGCCAGTTGTGCCTTCAATTCTTCAATATAATCTTTGTTGGGTCCTGCAACCAACATGTCATCCACATACAACAGCAATATAACAAAATCGTTATCACCAGACCTCTTAAAATAAGCACAAGGGTCTGCATTAAGTCTGTTGTATCCAAGGTACATAATGAATGAATCAAATATCTTATACCAATACCTCGGCGCCTGTTTTAGACCGTACAGATATTTGTTCAACCTGCAAACCAAGTTCTTCTTTTCTTTTTCTTAAAAACCTTTAGGCTGGAGCATGTAAATCTCTTCTTCAAGATTTCCATGAAGAAAAGTGTTTTAACATCTAGTTGCTCTAGATGTAAGTTCAATGTAGCACACATTGCCAAAACTACTCGAACTGTTGTTAGTCGAACCACAGGAGAAAATATTTCATTGAAATCAATACATTCTTTTTGAGCATATCCTTTGACCACCAGTCTTGCATGATACCTCTCAACTTGATCGTCACCATTTCGCTTGATTTTGAAGACCCATTTGTTACCAATTGGCTTCCTTCCTTGTGGTAGTGGCACAAGGTCCCATGTATTATTTTTATGAAGGGCTTCAATTTCTTCTTGCATCGCCATCATCCACAGTGAAGCATCTGAGCTGTTTATTGCCTCCTGGTATGTTGATGGCTCACCGTCCTCTGTTAAAAGGCAGTATGCAATATTACACTCTATAACATAATCTGAGTGCCAATTGGGACGTCTTCTCACACGATCTGATTGACGAGTTGTTGGAGCTTTAGAACTCTCTGGTTCTTGTTCATCATGTGCTGGTTCTACTTCAGAAGAATCTCCTTCTTCAAACTCTTTTTCCACATGTATCTGAGTAGTCTCTGACTTTTCAGCGCTATCATCGTCTTCTTTTCTTTGTAGTTTATCTTCTACAAAGATAACATCTCTACTAATGATTACTTTGCGGGCAGTGGGATCCCACAAGCGATACCCCTTTACTCTATCAGCATACCCCAAGAATTTGCATTTCCTGGATTTTGGATCCAACTTTGAAATTTCTTGGGAGTTGTACATCACGTACACTATACTTCTAAATATATGGAGGTTTGAATAATCAGCTGGTTTTCCAGTCTACATCTCCATTGGTGTCTTCAGCTCTATTGCAGTTGATGGAGCTCGATTCACCAAATAACAGGCGGTATTGACTGCTTCTGCCCAGAATGATTTTTCTAGGCCTACATCCCTCAACATTGCTCTTATTCTTTCTAACAAGGTTCTGTTCATCCGCTCTGCCACTTCATTTTGTTGAGGAGTGTTCGCCACTGTGAACTGTCTTTTGATGTCTTCTTTCCTGTAAAATTCATCAAATTCTTCGCTTGTGTATTCTCCTCCATTATCTGTTCTGAAACACTTGATCTTATTTCCAGAATCAAGTTCCACCCGCGCTTTGAAGTTTTTGAAAGTTGAAAACACGTCTGACTTCTTCTTAATAGGGTGCACCCAACATCTACTGGAGTAGTCATCAATAAATGAGACAAAGTATTTTGCTCCACCTAGGAACGTTACTGGTGCTTGCCATACGTCAGAGTGAACCAATTCTAGAACATTTTTGCCTCTAGAATTTGATGTGTTGAATTTCAACCGGTGTTGATTACTTGTTATGCAATGCTCACACAAAGGAAGTGATACCTTTGTTAAGCCTGGAAGTAGCTTTTGCTCCACAAGGACTTTCATTCCTTGTTCTGACATGTGTCCAAGTTTCTGATGCCATAGCATTGCCGAATCTGAACTACATGAGGCAACAGAGGCTTCTACTTCTACCAAAGTCTCTCCCTTCAGTATGTACAAGTTTGCAGCTATTTTTTCGCCTTTCAGCACCACAAGCGCTCCACGGAACACCTTCATGATTCCTTTCCGTGTTTCAATCTTGCTTGCATTATTATCCAACAATCCGTAGGATAATAAATTTTTCTTCAAGCCTTTCACGTGCCGCACATCTCGAACAACTTTAATTGTTCCGTCATACATCTTCAATTTGATGGTTCCCACGCCAACGATCTCTAAGGCATGATCATTGCAACTATAAACAGATCCTCCTAAGACAGGTTCATAATGATGGAATCATTCTCTTCTTGAGGTCATGTGATATGTTGCTCCCGAATCAATGAGCCATATATCTGCAAATCATTTTTTTCCTTCCACGGTGGTTGACGCTTCACAGCATAGAGCATCTCCATCATCTGAAGTGTTTGCGGTATTGCCTTGTGGATTGGAGTTT